CTTTCTTACAGTCTTTCTTGTGCTACATCTCTTTTCTCTCCCACATATAACTTTCTCTATCACCCCAGTCTTTTATGCATTCCTTCCCTCTCTCTGTTTCTCTATCTCTGTTTCTCTCCCTCTTCTGTCTCCACACCTCCCCTGGTGCATAACTGGAAACAAAGTGAGTTTGTTGTGACCGGTGGGGAAGAGAACGTTTGGAGGCAGTGGCCAGGGCGGCAGCAGCAGAGACAGGCTGGGGCCAGAAGCAGTGCCGGCAGCCGGAGACCTCAGCGCTCAGCTATTCCTGGGAGCAGGTAATGCCCAAGACAGGGCTGGTTCAGGCATCCTGCTCTCTGCCCTGTCTAATCTCTCCATTGATTGTTCCATTTATTTGTCTTGTTATTTGGCCTTGAAGGGAAAGGGGATTCCAAATTTAGGGAACAGTAGGCACAAGGATCCGAGGAGTGTGAGGTGTGTGGTCTGCTGTGGCTAGGTCCAGGGTATCTGGGATTGGGGGGTGGCTGGGGTCTGGGGTCAGGTTAACTGGGTTCCAGGGCATCTAGTTGAGAAACCTGATAGAACTTAAAAAGACAGGTAAGGTCTAGATCGCAAGGGAAGTTTTGGGCCAGGTCAGTGACCCTAAGCTCTAGGTAATACTCACCCATTGAAGGCTTTTCACTTGGAGATAACCTGATCAAATTTACATTTTAAAAGTTGTTCTTGAGCTCCGCTTGCTTCCATCCTCTCAGAATCAAATAGTCATAGCCTTCTCCCAATGTAAAGAAAAAATAAGGTTATTTGTTCAATTGTTAGTTTTTCTTCTATAAAATTTTAAGCTTTGTCTGCTAGCAAGGGTCAGCAATCCATAACCCAATGAAAAGATGATGTTTAAAGTAATAAAATACTTTATTTTATTCAGAAATAAAATTCATTTAAATAAATAAGGCAGATTGAGCTATATACAGATAAATTGATAATTTCTGCTAACAAAATTATTTCTAACTCAAATGCAAAATATTTTATGGTGCTGCTCAAAGAGCACCATGACTCCCAGGGGTGTGTCACGTGAACATGTTTGACATGTTTTAGGCAAACTTGTCTGCCACATAGGGAATAGGGGTGGATCAGGCAACCAGAGGCAGCAGTGACAGCGGGAGGCTCTTGCAGCGATAGCAACAGGAAATAAAGAGAACCTGAGCCAAGATGGTGGCAATGAGGAGCAAAAAAGGGAGAGCAAGGGAAAAATATTTAGGAAGCAAGGGAGAGAAGTTAGTGTCTGATTGGACATGAACGATAAGACAGAAAGAGGCTTCAGGAGTGAGTCTGATATTTCTTATCTGAATGGCTGGATGGTTAGGTGCTATCATTCAAAACAGAGAATGGCAGGAATAAGGGGCTGTTTTGAATCTATTGAGATTGATTTGAGGTGCAGAATTCCCAGGTGGAATAATCCAGTTGACAGTTGGAAATGCTCAATACAGGCAGGGCCCAGAGACATGGATGACCTCATCTACAGGGTGACATCATAAAGAACACAGGATGGCCCAAGAAAAGTACAGAAAGAGGAGAGAAGGTCAAGGAGAAATCTTGGGGAAGATGAAGATTTAAGTGAGACAGGCAAGAGGGGCCAGGGAACGATACCGAGGATTCCTTGAAGAGATAGGAAAAAATATCAAGAAAGTGTTGTGTTTTGAGAGCTAAGAGTAGCATTTCAGTTCAGAGGGAGCAGTCAGCCCCACTGATGCCCCAGAGAAATAAGACAGACCTGTTGGTTTGATTGGTTTTTTAACTTACTGGTTTGAGAATAAGATAACAAGAGCAATCTGAGGGCAGAGTTGTAAACTCAGGTGCATAGCATAAATGAGATTAGCAGGGAAGATTAGGGAGCAGTGGGGACTGTGGCAAACTAAAATACATATGCCCATAACATTGTGTGTCAACAATACTTAAATAAAAGAACTTTTAAAAATGTGTATGTCCACCTAAAGAAGGCAGCCATCACTCAGCTCTAGTTGATTATTGCCAAGCAGTAATGTAGGCATAGTCATCAGATCATCTGAATTTTCTTTTTTTTCCCTAGTATTTTAAAAATAATTTATGTATTTTTAAATTTACATCCAAGTTAGTTAGCATATAGTGCAACAATGATATCAGGAGTAGATTCCTTAATACCTCTTACCCATTTAACCCATCCCCCCCTCCTACAACCCCTCCAGCAACCCTGTTTGTTCTCTATATTACACAAAAAATCTTATGTTTTGTCCCCCTCCCTGTTTTTATATTATTTTTGCTTCCCTTCCCTTATGTTCATCTGTTTTGTATCTTAAAGTCCTCATAGGAGTGAAGTCGTATGATATTTGTTTTTCTCTAATTTCACTTAGCACAATAACCTCTAGTTCCATCCCCATAGTTGCGAATGGGAAGATTTCATTCTTTTTGACTGCCGAGCAGTACCCCAATGTGTGCGTGTGTGTGTGTGTGTGTCTATACACACACCACATCTTCTTTATCCATTTGTCTATCAGTGGATATTTGAGCTCTGTCCATATCTTGGCTATTGTTGATAGTGCTGCTATAAACATTGGGGTGCTTTGAAACAGCATACCTGTATCCCTTGGATAAGTCCCTAGTGGGAGCATCTGAATTTTCAAGAAAAGTCAGAAATGTGGATTGTTATGTGAAATCTCACAATTCCTTATGTTAGCAACAATTTCAAAAATGTTTATACTCCACGAGGGCTGAACTAAACATGCCTTTGAGCTGCCAGTTTGAAGTCTCTGCCTTAGTCAGTGTCCTTGAGAGTAGTGGTACTGAAAGAGTTGCAGCAGGTTGGAAAGTAACTGGGTAAGGAGGAAGTGGAGACAGCAAGTGTTGACCATTCCTTCAAAAAGTTGGGGGGAAAGGAGAGCAGGAGAGCTTGGAAGGCAGGCAGGGTCATGGAAGAGTGTTCTAGGGTAAGAAGAACTGTTTATAGGCTAGGAGAAAAAGAGTGGAGAGATGAAGTTGAAGACCAAAGTAAGGAAAGGTTGGTTGATAAAATAATGATCCAGCATAAGGGAATGAGTGGGGCCAGAGATTAAACTGGAAGGACTCCTTTGTTCAAAACTGGACTACAAAGTGACAAGGGTACAGGAGAACTAGAAGGGAGAAGGTGATGGAGCTTACATATAGAGACCGTTGTTTCCTTGATGAAGTGGGTAGGAGATGGATCAGAGGCTTGAAGAGAGGAGCAAAGGTTAGGAATGGCATCAAGGGACATGGAACACAGTGCTGACAAGAATGGGTGGGAGGTGGCTACACTTCTGAGACCTGCTGAGGTTGGAAATCTTTTATTTTCACCATTGGGTGGGGCTCATGAGCCTGGGTGCTGGGGCTGGTAGTAAAGGGGATCAGTACCTGCTACATTCTAGGCCCCATGTCATGTGTCTTATTCTCCTTACCTGAATCTCCTTGTTCCTGCCAACAACCCTGCTCACTCAGACTGAATTCACTTATGAGCAAGTGGCAACTCTGAGATATATACCCGTGTCTAGCTGGGTCGCAAGCCCACTGTGCACCTTGTCTCCACCATCCCATAGTACCACACTGCCTCTCCCTGTGCCTCCAGGACATTCCTGCAGAGAGGAAGACTGGGCCAATGAATTCTTGTTTGGGTGTTGGCTGCCTGGTTTTACTGGGAAGTCAAGGAGTAAGAGTGGGGAGTATGATGAAAAAGTAGTTGAAATTATTGACCATTGGGAAAGCATGGAGAAATCAGTGAGGGCCAGTGAGGATGATAAATTGAGGGGACAGAAGGGCTTGGAGGAGGGGAAAGACTTGATGAAGCCCAAGGGACCATTAATGAGAGACTGAACCAGGGCAGGCGCAAAGGGATTGGTGAGGAGGGACATATTTTTGAAAACTTTCCTTATGAGGGTGAAGATAAGAGAAAGTGGTAAGTAAGGTGAAGGTGACTCCAGGGTGTCTAGCCCATACAGTTGGTGGACAGTTATGCCCTTAACCAAAACATTCCACATCATCATCTCTTGCTCACCATGCTCTAGACACAATGGCTAGCCCATTCTCACTTCAGGGTCTTTGAAACACCCAGAGCACTCTTTTTCCAGAGATGCAGAAGAAGCTTATTCTTATCTTCCAAGTCACAACTCAAACACATGCTCCTCAGAGAGGTCTTTATTAACCAATCTATCTAATGTATTTCTCTCCTTTTTTTCCCCCAAATGTTTATCACTCCCTGAAATGATCATTTATGCATTTGTTTACTTATTTCTGCAGCTAGAGCAGACATTCAAGAGAACAAGGATGTATGAGCCTTCTTCACAGTTTTGTTTTGAAACAAAGCCTGGCACATAGTAGACTTCCATGAAATATTGAGAGAAAGGAAAGAAGGAAGGGAGGCAGGAAGGGGAAGCATGTTTGGGGAAGGGTACATCCTCAGTGTTAGAATCCTGACTTTTGAGGTGCCTGAGAGACATCTAGGAGGTGACATCTAGTTGGCAGTTGGAAAGCAGACCAGGAGCTCAGGAATACGTTGTCACTTTGCCCATGAAGAAGGTGGGCCCACGTGGCACATGGGTACAAGAACATCCTTTTGCAGAGCTGACTGCCCCTTCAAGGCCAACACTGGTAGTTAACTGGTCTGGAGCCCAGTGGGAAAAGGAGTCCTTCTGTGTTTGTTATGCTGAAGTCAGGTCAGAGTTTTTCTCACTTCTCACTTTTCTGTTTCCTATCCTTGCTTCTTCCTAGCTTTGGCCATTTTCTATCCCTCTTTGTTGTCAGCTACAAGACCCTGGAGACTGAATGCAGACTAAATCCTTCATTCCATTTATCTCAAAGAATATCTCACCCACATCCAACCACCGAGGCCTGAGTCTAGCTTTGCCCAGAAGCTGGGCTTAGTTTTACTAAATTAGGAAATACTTTTCTCTAGAACCTGACTCCTGCTCCATTTCAATTGGCCCTGCAGCCCTCTGCCTCTCCCAGGCCACTCAGCAGACCCTGCTGCCCTCTTTCTGTAGGGTCTCCAGCTGCTGAGCAGCTCCAGGACATCCTGGGGGAGGAAGATGAGGCTCCCAACCCTACCCTCTTCACAGAGATGGACACTCTGCAGCATGATGGAGACCAGATGGAGTGGAAGGAGTCAGCCAGGTAAGGTGGAGTCCCAAGGGAAGGGGGGAGGGGGATTCCTCCTACAGTCTGCCTGGGGCCCAGGCTGAGCTGACCCTCCTGGTGGGAAGGACACTTGGCCAGTGGCATCTTGCACCTTAAGTCTGCTGGGGCACTTTCTGGCCCCTAAAGACTTCCCCTTCTGCCTTCCAGAACTGGGCTGGACACTAAGGGGCAACAACTTCTTTGTCTTTATTCTCAAAGAAGTTAAAATCAAAGTGGAAAAATAGAACGACATCCACGAGACCATGAGAGAATAATACAAGACATATATTCTTTCTTGTCAAATGGTTCAAACTAAATGCTATAGGAGAAGGGAAAGCACCAAGGGGGCTGGGGTAGGCAGGGAGGGCTTCATGGAGGAAGGAAAGTGTATGCCATAAAAAAGTCCAGGTGGAGTGAGTGGTCCAGCGGGCTTCTGAAAAAAAGAGACTGCAGAATTTGGGGTGGGACACAATGGAGCTCTGGAGGCACATGCCAGAGGCATAGGAGCTATGTATATAGGTCAGTAGAAGGAAGAGAAGAGTCAGAAGGCTGGAAGGGAACCACGTGGTGAAGTCATGCAGCCAAAGAGGATTGGAGTAAGGAGTAGTGCTGGCCATACCCAGTGCTTGGGACAGAGTGCTCTGGTCAGCAACACCAAATGATGCCAACAGTCCAGGAGAAAAAAAAAAAAAAAGGAAGGAGGCAGCAAGAAGAGCCAATGAGAGAGAAGGGACCCTGGGAAGGAAGCTGAGAAAGTCCAGAAGATGAACCATACCAATGTTTCTCAACCTTTTTTTTTTTTTTTTTGTATTAATGTGCCTCTCACCCCTAAGAAATTTTAATTTCAGTTAAATTTATTAAATTAGGAATTGATTTAACTTATTTCTAATGAGAGAAATTGAATACTAAGGAACATGATTCTGTGAGGTAGGCTTGAACTTTGGAGTGTATACCTAAAATTTTTTGCTCTCCCAAGACCCCTTTGGGGCTGATATTGCCCCGGTTGAGAATGCATGGACTAACTGCCACCTGTGTCCAGGACTTTTTCTCCCTGGGAGCCACCAGGACACTCAGATCCTGGAAGCTGCTCCAGCCATGGCCTAGGATCTTCCCTCACCCACCAACCTCACTCACCTGGGAAGTTAGTTGCTCTGTAGAGCGAAGAAGAGGAAGTTTGGACATTGCCAAGCCTCCCCCTTTTAATCTCTCCTGGAACAAAAGGCCACTGGGTGGACTAACAAATCCTTGCAGTCCCCAGGGAAGGAATGAATTCCTAGCCTCATCCAATCCTGGTCTAGAAGCCCCTGTGCTTATCAACCATTCAGTGAGCTCTTCTGTATGCTAAATAATTTATGGGCTCATTTCCCTTAAGCTGCACAATAGCCCTAAGGAGGTGGGAACTATTATTATCCCCATTTTATAGATGAGGATATGGAGGTTTAGAAGGGCAAATAGCTTATAAGGGTCAGATTATGCAGGTAGCTGAGTCTAGTTCTAGCCCAAGCCTGTCTGACCCTAACTTGAGGGCTTATGCCCTTTGTAATGCTTTCCCCATTTTTTAAAGCTACCTCCCTGCCTTTCCTCCAACTTCCAGGGACTCTGTTTGGATTTCCATGGGAATACATAAGTCTGGAGGCAATTCCACTGGGATGAGAAATAAATGGAGAATGCTACAGAGACCAAAGCATCTATTCAGGGCTGAGAAGAGAGGATAAGACATTTCGAATGACCAGGGCGCAGTCTGGGCTACTGTGGCTTAATGCCTCTGAGGAGCTAGTGCTTCCTCTCCCTTTCTTGGCCAAGGTGGGCAAACAGAAAGAAGGAACATTGAGAAGGGTCTTCTCAGAGACGCAGTAAGGAGAGAGTGCCTTCTTGCCACAGGCAAGGTCTGCATCCAGGACCCCGGACCCCTGCCAACAACTGCCAGGACCAGACCTTCCATGAGGGTCTATCACACATATATGCACAGAGCCTTTGCTAAGAAGTTCTCAGGGCCCTCAGAGACCTGATTCTCTGTCATCATAGACAATATAGTGCATCTAGTCTCTCTGAGAATGAATCCATAGAACTTACTACAGTATAGACTCTATAATGAAACTGATAAACTGTAGGTGATGATGTTTCTAGAAGGAGGCTCCTCCTGAAATATAAAGGGGTCTGATTTGACAGTTGCCATCTGTAAGCTGGTGGGTTTCCTCTCAAGGTAGGCTTTCTGAGGATAGCATTTGAGGAGATCCTGGAAGGGTCCTGAGTGGACCTCAAACCAATAATGAGAGGACAGTCATGGCTAAAGGAAGTCCAAATGGCTGAACCAAATTCTAGGCAGATATGAAAGAGAAGTAGCTTGGGGGTCAACTTGGAGGCAGGAAAAAGTGGGCGAGGATGAGCTCAGGCTTCCCTACCGCCCCCTTCTCTACCTGGTCTCCTTTAATGTTTTCTCCAGCTAACCCCATCAGGTTTCCAGCTCACTGTTGGAGGTATGACCAGCAAGGAAGGTCAAGGGAAAGGCTTGACCAGTGGCCGACAAGTTCACCTTGGCCTGAACAGTTGTGCTGGAGACACCTCCAGGCAAACTGCAACAGTAGAGGTGCTTGGGGCCAGGCCACACCCCCACAAAAGAATGGGAAGCATTTCCCTCAGCTGACAGGCTGTGAGATCTACTCTGGGAAGCCAGAGGTCTTAGAAGTTTCCAGAATCCAAGAATCTGCAAATCCTAGTGGGTTCTGGGGCTCCTTGGGGTAACAGGAGAAAATGATGGTGTTTGAGGGGTTGACAACCCCTCACACAGACACTCAGGCCCTGGGAGGGTTGCAGGCCTATACCCACATCAAAGAGAATGGAGGAGGGGACTCTTTAATAAAAGTACTTAATTTGCTGCAGGAGTGTTTGCTTTATTGAGTTAGGAGATTAACAGAGTAAAAATCTCAAATCCGCAAGGAATTTTCCCTGGTGGTGCTTTGTCAGGGGTTATTAGTTTGGGGGATGTTTTGAGCCCTTGGAGAAGGTGTCACCCCTGGATGGATTTAAATGGCTTTTTGAGCTCCACTGAAGCTTTGCTCCTGTGCACATGATGGGAACTGTGTGTGCAGGCGGCATTTCTGATGTGATCAATGCTGGTAGGTCAGGCTGTTAATAAGATAGATTTTTTACTAACCCAGTCTCTTTAGCCTTCCCAGGAGGAAAATGCAGCTGGCTGTTTGCTGATATTGACCTTGCCTGAAGGGAGGGCTGGGTCAGGTGGGTGGGAGCACACAACCCCCTCACTTCTAGCAAACAGTTTACCCAGAATTCCATCCTCTGACAGGAGTCTGCCTGGCTGTAAGGACAGAAAGAGAAGGAGAATGACCTAGGCTGGAACCCATCCAAGAATGGAGAGCCCTCTGGGGTTACTCAGAAATAGCCAGAGCTTAGAGTCTTCTAAGAGTTCTGAAAGCAAATTCCAAATCCAAGCTGCCTCTGATCTCAACTCAGAGAAGACCAAAAGAGCAAACTTTCCTGAGGTTCTGAAGAGACACAAATGTGTTGAGACACAAATGTGTTGAGAACATTCCTGCAATGACCAGGAAAGGGCAGAAGGAAGGGCAAGAAAAGTGGGTCAGCTTAGTGGGTCAGCTTAGTTGGGTCAAACCATATCAGTATATTTTCAAAAGCATCCTATGTGTGGAGATGTTTGCACACTCCACGTGTGATGGAGGGGAAAGCCTGAACTTTGCCTCCACTTTGAAACTGCTCCCACTTAAGATCTTGTAGAATGTCCTCCTAGTATCATTTCCCTGTTTAGTCTGGAGTAGAATGCACCCCCAGACCACTGGTCTCACCACTCACCTGGGATCATGCTTATGGGGCCAGAACTGCCTACTGTATATGGATTAAAGCAGAGTAGGAAGCTGAGAACTCTTAGCACAGAAGTCAGTAAACCTCCTTCATTCATTTAACATATTTACAAAGTGTTTTACTGTCTGTAAACCTGAGCCAAGTGCTGGAGATACAGAAATGAACATGGCAGATGCCATCCCTGCTGACTTGGGCTTTCAGTCTAATGGGGCACAAAAGTGGATAAACAGGCATTTGACGATGGGGTTCTGTGAAAGCACAGTGTAGGGACACCTGGCCCAGACATCAGGGGTTAAGGAAGACATCCAGGAGAAAAATGGTGTTCACACTGAGACTTGAAAGATGGCCCAAAGTTAACCAGGAGAGGTTATGGAAGGGGGAAGAGTAGAGGCCCCTGGAACACAGAGGAAGGGGTAGAAATTCCCTGTGGCTGTGTTACAGAGTATGGGCCAATTGTGGAGGACTTATGCAGACCATGTTGTTGAGCTTGAACTTGATGCTGAGAGCTTTGGAGGACCACTGAGGGGGAGAGGAGCAGGACTGTGTATTTGAGAGAGGCCACTCTGGCTTCAATGTGGAGAATGTAAGAAGGAAAAAGGGGGCAAGACTGGGCCTGTTAGGAGACTGCACTAGGTGAGAGATGAGACCCTGGACTGAGATGTTGGCAGTGGGAACAGAGAGAAGGGGTGGATTTGAGACATTTTTTTTTGAGCATAATAACTACATATTATTAATATATAACAGTTATATATTAATATATATTGCTTTTAAATACATTTTTTAGAGCAGTTTTAGATTCACAACAAAATTGAGAAGGTACAGAGTTCCCATATGTGCCCTGCCCCTGAACATGCATAGCCTCCCTTGTGACTGACATCCTCCATGACAGCAGTACATTTGCCACTATTGATGAGCCTACATCACCCAAAGTCCATAGTTTACAATAGGTTCTCTCTTGGTGTTGTACCTCCTATGGGTTTGGACACATGTATAAAGACATGTGTCCAGCATTATAGTATTATACACGGTAGTTTCACTGCCCTAAAAATCTGCTTACTCATCTCTCTCTCCTCCCCAATCCCTGGCAACCACTGATCTTTTTACAGGATTTGAGACCTATCTTAAAAGGTAGAATTGACAGGACTTAATGACAGATGGCATGT